AAACCTTGAATTTTGAAGAACAAAGTAATTAGACACCTAGCTCAAAAGTCGAGAAAGGTCATTTCCCGCCATCTAGAAATCAAAATTTTCCCGGGGGAGGAATGTTGACCCCACCACCTAGATTTGATTCTAGATCTGCAAGATTCATATTCCCATTCATCTTATAAGCAGTGGCGTAAAAGGCAGGGGCCAGGGGGGAAGACTGCCACCCCGACGGTTTTTACCGGGCTGACAAGCCGTCGTACCGGGCTGGGTAAGAAGAGAAAAGAAAGAGGAGAGAGGGAGGGAAAGAGAAAGAAGGGGAAAGAAAAAGAAAGGAAAAAGGAAAAGAAAAAGAGAAGAGAAAAATAAAGACAAGAATAAAAAGGAAGATATAATAAACAGATATCACAATACCCCGGCCTGCAACCCCTTCTCCACTTCCAAAAGTGTCCATATCGCATTTGATCTAAGCCGCCAGGTATTCTCCGCAGTTCTTTCCCCATTGAATGCCCTTTTCACCCGGGAAAGTGCCTGAAAATCTCAAATTTTAAATCCAATATTTTGTTGAGGTAGTCCAATTTCCTCTAAAAATTGCACATTTTAGGGAGTTTTGATCAATTCCGACGAAATTAGAAAACAACATTTTTCGCGCACTACGCGCGCATTTTTTAATGTTAAAGCTTGTGCTTGCTCTCCCTTGCCTTATAAATTATAACACATAGTCCCAAACTCAAGAAAGAACATTTAAGGATAGATCGTTTATAAAAGAAGGGCCTCAATGTGTAATGATGTTGAAAGAATATGTTTGTAATAAATAAAGCCATAAGGAAAATGCTTATATTCAGTTTAAAAGAACGAGTGAGGCCATATATAACATAAGAGCATTTCTTGGATGAGATAGGCCAAATCAGGAACGACACTACAAGTGAAATGTAAGTCATGCATAGACCTGACTTATCCTTTATGGTATATTATTAACATTGGAACTTGGAACTAAACGTATTTAAAAAAGCATAATGTTGTACAGCAGAAATGTGTTTAAAAGCTTAGGGGGACACAAATAGGGATGTAATCCTTTAAGGAATCGCCAGGATAACATTTTTGGTTGTACAATATTTACTCTGGGAAAAAAGCAAAAGAAAGATTAGACACAACTTTTTGAAATATCGAAAGTAATAGAGAACATAATGCCGAAATCAGATATCTGCCTGGAATCCTAGCAACAATTTTAAGGGAAAATAGTTTATAGATATTTTTTGAAATATAAAAACATAACTGTAAAACGTCCATTAACACGTGTTTACTATCCATTGATTTACATACATTACATCTACTGTACATTTCCATTAGATATTTTACTTGCTTTTAGAAATTATTTAAAAACATTGCTCTTTCTGTATATTAAGACTGCTACCAGATACAATTCTACAAAATCAATGATGGTTCAGGATATTTTTTTTTATTGATGTTGCTATTGTTTCTCATATTGTTCTTCATAATGACAAACACTATAAATTGCAGGCACAAAAAATATTGCTCAGCTCGATAAAAATGCCTTAGGGTATTTGTGCTGCAGTTTCAACAAACAGTCATAATGTTATTTAATTAAACGTGCTGTAAAGATAATAAAATAATTTTTCAGTTGTCATAATCAGTGACATTGAAGTTGTAGCCATATGTATCATTGATCATGTGATCTGCCTGTACATTGTCACTTACAATGTTACTTTTGCGGTAGTCGTCACCATCGGTAACTTTAAAGCTACATTCATACAGTCAGTTTAATTTCACTTAGTATACTGTCACTTTCATCACTATCAGCAACACTGAATCTGTAGCCGTATGTGTCATTGGTAATGACATAGATGTGTTCTCTTTCATTTTTACGGCTATAAACCAGGGTGGTATTTAACGATAGGTTATCTTTTTGTAATGTGCTAAGTGCTTTCTTTGGTTTGATTTGTAGAAGGTTCCTCGTTAATGGAATTGTAGATCTCTGTATTTTCTGTTTCAGTTTGTTGGCTTCTGGATGTTTTTGTAATGTTTGAATGAAGATCTGTTAGCATGACGTCGCTGACAGTAATTCTTTTCACGGGTTCGACCACTTTAATGGCATATAAAGCAATGTCTATCAGGAGTCTTGACTTTCACAATTAATTAAGGGGAAACATTCAAAATGAATGTGTAACACACACTCATTATCGTGATTGAAGTATAGTAATATCCTTTATAATTTGATGAAAAACAGTTGAAGAATATTCCATTTCCAGAATGAACCACTTTAAATGTATGAGTAATATTTATAGAGCCTTCCATCAAAACATACGACTGTGAAGTTTAATTATATCCTCCTTGAATCCATCCAGTTGTAATTTCTTCTTGAATATCTCTATTCCAGAATGGTTGCACTGTACATGAAATTGTTACTTCTTCTCCCTCAATTATGCCTGCCAAACCTACGACATCAGTTGTATCCTCGTAAAGTGATGGTTAATTCATTTGAACACAAGAAGAAGAAAACAAAATGTAATCATTTTCATTAGTTTGGCATGTGTATATTCCTATATCTTGTTCATTGAAAGATATACAGTAAATAGTTGACAATTGCATTGAACTACTTTTTGTTCAGTGTGATAATCCGTAGGCCTACAGAAGTGATACGACTGTGCATATTTCCGATCGATGAAATAATAATAAGAATGTTTTTTTTCTAATCCACACCACCTGGTTCTCTGCACTTATTTTTTTTTTTTTTATGTTATTTCATTACAGGATTCAATGAACGTGAACCCATTCCAAACCATTTTCAGCGGTACGTTGATAGCCAAGCTAAGCCTAACTAAATTGATGAGAATAAGGAATTACATAAACATCTTGTCTTTGTTTGAAAAATATTTTCAGGATTGATCCAGCTTGTAGACATCTACGTAATTGTAGTAGAGACTGAAGCATGCACTGTTGTTGAGGGATGATTGTAACAAACTGACAAATCTTGCTCATTTTAATCTTTTTTCTTCTCTTCCGACTTTTAATATTATTTAACGTAATGTTAATTTGTAGTTTCGTACCTATTATATATAAAATTTTAAAATTAGATGTTTGTTGTTGGCTTTTTGAAAATTGTTTTTTCAACTGTTTTTCTTTTCTTGAAGGCGCCTTGAGTGACTTTAAGCAGATTCGTGCGTAGTATAAGGCTGTTCAGATACGTAATGTTATTCTGACAACAACTCTGCATACAAATTTCACTTTCAGATTATTTTTTTCGACAAATTTTATTTTTTTATTTATTATACGAAAGCAATACAAATACACAAACTTCACTGAAGTAGTATGTAGGTCCCTAGATAGCTTTTTTTTCTTGCCCTGCTACCTGCTATGTCACCTCATCGTCATCATCACGCTATTTACATAGACAGTGCGTCTCTGTTAAATGTTCTCTAATCTAAGCAATATCTTGCTTCATCTAACTTTCATTTGTTACTCTCACCAGAGGATCTAATAAACTGAGACCAGCAAATTAATGAAAGTGATACATCAATGTTTTTTTACAAAAATAGTTCGACACTTTGTGTTTTTAAACTTATAATCAACCAACGTCGTTTCTTTAAAAATCAGGCAGATTTGTTTTAGGATCTAAATACTGTACTTAAAACAACAACAAAAAATTGTTTTCATGTCCAGTGGCGGATTCAAGGGATGGATGATGGGGCCCCCTATATTAAAAAAATATATAAAAAAAAAAAAAAGAAAAAAGAAAAAAATGAAATTGAAGTCCGAGAATGCCATTTCCGGGTATCTAGAGGTGCCATAATCATATGTTTTCTTACCTCAGCCCCAACCATGATATGCTGAAAGGTTTGTTGGACCCTCTATCTGTGGAAGCCCCTTCATGCCCCCACCCCATATTACAAATTCTTGGATCTGCCACTGAAAATGCATGTCTCGTGTTGTTATTTTGGTGTTATTGGATGTCTTGTGCCTTTGACACTGTGGGT